TCCAGTTCTCAAAACTGCTTGAGTCCCCCCTCCCCGCACCCAGGGTTTAAGAGTTGGAAACTGGACTGAAGCTCTGAGTAGGAAGTTCTGACTTCACGGAAACATAAGCATAGTGATCTTGCAGCGAGCACTGTACAGAAAAAGCGTGTGCCTCCAAAAATCTCTCCTCCCTGAACCCCCTCTTTTATTTTTCTTAGGAAAGAGGGCTCTGGAAAAATAGAAGGGAGAGAGAAGGAAACGAGAAGATGGATAAAACACCAAAGCCTGCTCCACCATAAAGCCTGACAGAAGAGAAATTGGGGAACAAGAGCAGAAAATTTCTTAGAGGAAAAAAATGCATAAGGGACTGAGGATAAATATAAGGAAAGGAGTAGCATATTTCTTTAGGTCATATTAAGAGAGTACCTACTGGAGCTTGAAAATACAGGATGGCCATGGGAAGTGACGAGGGCAGTCACATTTCCCCCCCAATAACATTAAAGAACCTGCAAATAGTTCAGGGAATTAAGCAGCTTTTAACTTTTTCCCTCCAAGGGAAAGGCTATTCTTTAGGGGTTACATTTTGTAATCAGACAGCAAAGGGGAAACCCAGCAAGGTTGTCCTGTTGAAATTATGTGTAGGCAGCAGGAAATTCCAAGGCTACTCTATCACTCATCGACATAAAATCGCCCATCAAAGCTACAAGAATTAGGAAAAATCCTATCTGTGCTTTGAAAATCCACTTTTGATTTTTTTTTTTTCTGCCAACTCAAGAATTCCTCCTGGAAGTAAATTTATCAGTATGACAGAACCAAGTAAAATGATTTACACATCCAGAAAGAATTGCATTTTGAGTTGAGGAGGTGAGTTGCACGTCAGATAATGTTGGAACAGTCAGGTGAGATTCAACATTTTAAACTTCTTTGTTTTCCCTCTCTTTACTACATTTCCCTTTCTTTCTCTCCACTTAGTTTTACTAAACTTCACTTAGCTTCGCAATTGAATAGGGCCTGGGCAGGCGGTGCATATATGATGTCCTGAAAACACATTGCCCTATGTAAACAATTGTTTTTGGCAATCCAGAACTTTCGTGGCAGGACTGCGTTTTTTTTCTGAAAATCAAATGTTTAGGCCAAAGTTGGAATTGCATGTGCATTTTTATGACCTGGCATATTCAAACATTACAATTGTATGTTTAAAAAGGGAATTTGATCTTTTTTGCTCTTTCTTCTTCAGGCTTCCATCCTTTCGAATGCCATTGTTTTCTCTTTTACAGTACATTTTCATATCTTGGGATATCTCTTCAGCATCTGTTTCTCCTCAACCATAATTTTCATTCAAAAATAATAACTCTTTGGTCTCTTTGGACATGTTTTGTTTTGCTCCTGCCCATGAACTTTGCCAGGGTGTGTTGAAGGTTAACAGCTCCATTTCTGGAATTCTCTTGGATCCCTTTTGGAGAAAAGTGCCAAAGTATATAAGGAGGTCTCAAATGTATCTGGGCCCTGCCAAGTCCTTTGAGGAAGCCTTCATGTAGCTGCACCTCCCTTCCCTCACTGTGCCAGGCTTCTTCAAGATTCCACATCCAAGTTCATATCTTGCTACACTTGTGGTGAGGACAGCGTAATGTGTAGAGATGTCGGCTCATTACGTTGTACACCTGAAACTCATGTAACATTGTGCATCCACTATATGCCAATAAAAGAAATAATAAAAAGAGAGAGAGAAAAAAGAAGTTCATATCGTTTGGTCATGTGGAAAAGAACCTTTGGATTAAGAGAAGTGTCCAAATGTTTATTCCTCTAACCACACTGTATTGTGTTTCTTAACAGGTAGAACATTGCTTCTCATTTCACCGAGTTTTCTGTCCTCTTCTCCTTTTCACCCCACATCATCCAGGGGCATGAGTGTTTCCATTGCTCATTTAATAATGCTCCTATCAATTGTCAGGGATAGCAGAGTTGCTCAAAGAGTTTTCCCCACAATTGCTGAAATAGTAGAAAGTTGACGTGAATGACAGAGGTGTTGCTGGAAATGGTGGGAAGGACCTTTTAGCAGTGTTTTGCCTAAGGGGCAATGGGTTACAGGATCACTCCCCTAACTAACATCGTATCCACCCTATAAGGTATGTCAAGCAATTTGCTTTCATTGTAACTAACATCTATCCACCCTATAAGGTATGTCAAGCAATTTGCTTTCATTGTGACCTCTGTTGCAAGAGGCCATAAACTCAACCCAAAGGGGCTCAAACAAAAACAGATTTTAGTGGCCTATATAACTAAAGAGCTCAGAGGTGGGGCTGTCTTCTTATGCTGCCAAATGTAGGACTCAGATGTGTTGTAAGGCCACTGGCTTCTCTCTATAGATCTCTTGCTCTTCTCTCTGTAGTCTTGGCTCCTTCATGGACAGGCTCGCCTCTCAGATTCACAAGATGGCAGCAGAAGCTCTGGAGCTTATGTCTTCTTAGTTCCACATCTAGGAGGGATCATTGCAGTCAGCCATTTGATAGAAGGGTTAGCTGCATGAAACTGGATTTCCAGGGTATCTGGAAAGAGGAGCATGCCTGGAGATCTGACACCCCTAGAGATTAATCAACCCTGGAGCCATCCTCCCTTAAGCCTTGTGATCCGAGACAATAACTTATTCTTATTAATTAAGTGCCTTTATATTGTTTTCTTGTTAAAAAAGGAATTCATCTTTTTTTTTTTTTTTTTCTGTTTCATCTTTTGGTCCACACTTTCATCTGGTTCCTAAACATTATTGTCATACTTGCTCCAGTTAGGTCATGTGCTCACTCATGACCATTCACAATGAGAATGTGATGTGTAAGTGGCCCCAGCCTAAGATGCACCTGTCCACTTCTGAAGTGGGACAGCTTCATCCTACTTGACTCCATGGACTGATAATGGAGGAAGGCGAATATCTACTGGGTGATGAGGGTACTGTTTCCATAAAATAGTGAAATAGATACTGTGAAGCAACAATATCAGGTGTCCAGTACCTCATTCAATATGAGTGTGCCTTCTGTTTACACAGTGGCCTTAAACTGTCAGTATAGTGAGTAGGGAGTATGTGATGAGTTGCTTGGCCTGGTAGCCTAGCATACATAATATTAGAGGTGTTTAAACCAAAGGTAGATCTACTATGCTGCTGACCCATCTCAATAGCCTAGGAATAATTTGCCTTACTTAGGGCCCCATGTCTCCAGCTTTGGGACATCAGCCATTTGAAGGTCATGGCAAAGAAAAATGTGGTCTATGGCTAAGACAGATGCTGGAGATGGCCTTGAGATGCTGGATGATCCAAGGGCCTCTAAAGGATACAAGGAACCCCAGGCAGTGTAAGTAGCATGTACCAGCCCCCAGGCCCGATGGGTCTGTGGCCCCTTCTCTCATATGCCCTGAAGTTCAGCTGGTCTCCTGGGTCTTAGAGCCAGCCTGCTATGTAGATGGGGCCTCAGGTCAGGCTGTGTCTAGTGATTTCAATTCTGCTGTTGGCTGGAATTGCATCTGTCAAGAAGGTTTTGCAGTCAGCCATTTGATAGTGGAAGAGTTAGCCCATGAACCTGGATTGCCTGCCTATCTAGAAAGAGGAGCATGCCTGGAGATCTGACATGCTCTGTGCACATTAGGGGTTCGTTTTTGCTATTCCTGGTTAGTCTGCTAAACCCAATGTATTTCAATATTTGAGGATTAAAACACACACAAACTCAAGATTTTTAAAAATTTTTTTATCATGAACTTAAGTAACTTCATCAAGAGAATCTCATCAACATGAAGCTATTTGCTTCCTTCCAAAGTAATTTCCTTTCTGTCAATGCACAGACATGCATTTTTACTTAGTTATAATTAGTGTGAACATGCTCGTTTTTGTTTAAGAAAGGTTTTCTTTACCTTGGCATTCAGATTTGTTTTCATAGGCGAAGAAAACACTGAGAACTAGAAGGAAACTTCACTGGAGAGTTGGGAGGATTATATGCGGTCATGTTATCCCAGAGTTGAAGAAACCTTAAAGGACCCTGAATCCCACCCCTAAGTCTGATGACTGCCCTCCACCCCCCTTCCTCCCTTGGGCTAGGGTCTATGTGTCTGTCATTGGGCATGCGCCCTTGTTACCTGCTAAGTTATGTAAATGGTTTCCCATGCAGGAAGAAAGCGGAGACCTACTCTGTAACACTCTTCCACACCATTCTCCTCAAATGTGTGTTGCTTTTTTTCTCCTTTCTAAAATGTAATCACACACCAATAGTTTCCAATCTACCAAAGCTTAAATGTCCCAGTCTTTTCTCCTAAGTCAAGGAAGCGGTGAAGTTAAGTTTAATTAAAAGCAGCAACTATTTGTACAGCTGTCTCTGGGTTCATGGCTCGTAAAAGGATTTAGCTTCGAACCTCCCTGCCCATGTCCTCTGGGACTTTCACACAAAGCCATTTAGGCTCCTCATCTGGGCAGTACCATACCGGGTCTTCCCGAGTCACTTCAGGAGCAGGCTTCCCAGCTGCGCCCTGACTTTAGTGGTCAGATCCTCTGAGCTCCTGTGGCATGGAGCAAGGCAGAGAGGGGCAGAACTTCCCCATACACAAGTCCGTCCCCTTGTTTGGTTTGGGGGACACAAGGCCTTGATGGCTACTCCAGAAAGTTCCTGAACATTTTACTAGGGTTGGGAAAGGGGTGGGGGTGATCAGGCACAGCCTTTGGTTGCTTTCTCTGGCTCTTTGCACTTTTGATCGGCGGTCACCTTCAGCGCCCAAGGCACGAATGGTCACTGACAGGCATCTTTCAAAGGAGATGGGGGCGGGGTATCCCTGCAGGTAGATGCATCCGCTCCCAGCGGCACGCTTTTTTTCCCAGCCAAGTCCTGGAGTCGATGCAAACCCAGCGCTCAGCATTTGGCTGATTTTCGAGCGCACGGGAGCAGTGCTTCCTGCAGCCTTGGGTCTGCACACGCCCATTCGGACTGAGCGAATTCTGGGGCCAGCGCAGGTCACCTACTGCGGGCCGGGGACGGGGTCGGCCCCACACCCGAGAGGCCAGAAAGCCGGCAAGCCGCGGGCTACGAAAAGTGACCCTGGCGACCCCAAACGCCCCCGCCTCTCTCGCTCAGGCTGTACCTGCCCGCGGAGCGCTGCGAGCCGCCGGCAGAGAAGATGGCTAGCCCTGCGCCCTTAGTGGCCTCCATCAGCCACCAAATGGTGGCTCTGCAGACTCTGCAGCTGCTGCAGCAGGAGTGGGGCTGGGGGGACGGTCCGAACTACCCCGGGAGCCCGCGCGATCCAGACCACGTGTCCGCCGCCCCAGCGCGTAGCACAGGCCCTCGGCGGGCCCGACCCGGCCCGCGGCGGGACGATGGGGGCGGGGGCCGGGGGCCCAGGAACGCGGGATCTGGGGCGCGGATAAGCTCCCCACAAACGGAAGCGGTGCGAGGCGCCGAGGGGGGGCGCGGAGCTGCTGCCCTTCCCCAGGGGCCGCGGGCCCTGCACCCTGGCCCAGATGGCCATGCGCAGCGCGCTGGCCCGCGTGGTGGCCTCGACCTCGGAGCTGGTGAGCGTGGAGCGGACGCTGCTGGGACCCCTGCAGCAGGAGCGGTCCTTCGCCATCCATCTGAAGGTGAGTCTGGCCTCTGGCACCCCTTTTGGGCGCAGGATCCCCGGGCCGGGCGGGGCTGCGGAGCTGGAGGACGGGCGGGGCCGCCCACGGCGAGGCCGAGCCGCGCGCAGATTCCGCCTGGGCGGGAGGGAGTGGGGAAGGGACACCCCTGGGACTTGAGTCCAGGAACTAGACTCCTGACAGGGAGGCCTTGCCAAAACCTTCCTCTGGAACTCCTTTCTCTCTCACACATAAATCAGCTTCCTGCTCCAGCTGAGGGCCCTTTCCACATGTGCAGCGGTCTAGGGATGGAGGACAGCTCCCCCTGCCCCCCACCCCCCTTTTAAATTAATAACCCTTTCTCCGGAGCCTTAAAGACACGTATTAAGTCCCCTCTGCCTTTTGTGTGACCGAATCACCTAGATTTATTTAAAGTTCCTTCACACTTAAGACTCACAATTATTTTTGCATAAATCCAATTCCCCACGGAGTTCAGAGGCCTTACAGAGTCGACCTAAATTCCCATAAAGTGGGTTGAGAGCGGGGACGGGTTCCGGGTGTTGAAGCGTGAATACTAATGCTAAACTCCTGCTAAGTCACGCAGCTCGCATTTGCAGGGTTTCCGCTCGCTCACGGCACCACCACCCGGGAGTCAGTCTAGCCAGGGAGCACAGCAGCTGCCTCCCAGGCCGAGTGGGGGCTGTGGAAACCTGGGCGGCCTGGGGGCCAGTCTCCGCCTTGTCGTTCACTAACCTGAATTGGTTTAAGGTCACAAGTTTTGAGATCTTCTGGCTTTCCAGCTTTGCTCCCTCGCTTCCCCTTGAGAGGCTAGCAGAAGGAGATGAGGAAGGAAGGTTGAAGAAAGCTTAGAGCAGTTCTCAGGCGTTGCTGTTCTTGGTCTACAAGCCAGGGTTTGGGGGGGAAATTGCTACATTTTCGGTTGTGCTGTACACTGTAAAAGACTGACTTAAAATCAAATCTAATAAGGCATGTGATACACCCAAATAGACATTGTTACTGTACACGATGCTTTCTCCACCTCCCACTATTGATATTTCGGGTTGGATCATTGTGGGGCTGCCCTATAATCCTTCTCGAAGTAATCTTTTTCTTATATGCTAGAGCAAATCTTTCATCCGCCAAGTCCCTCCTCCTCCATACAGTTTCTGTGGCCGCCACTCTGCCGGTTCCTCAGTCCATAAACCTGCTCAAGCTCCCTTTACCTACCTGCTCCTTGAACCACAGCCCTTTATCAGCGTTATGAGAAAACAGGCAGACATCTGCATGTGTTGCTCCCACTTTCTGGAAGTGGCCTGAGTGCTCATTAAGAACAGAGCTGTCAACTTTCTTACTACTGGATGCTGTTCACCTGCAAGGGAGTAGTGAGTTCTTAGGGCTCCTGACAATAACCAGTACTTTCCGAAGGGAAAGAAACAGGGAGAGGTTTCTCTGGATGATTTGCCTCCTGGCTCTAGCATCTTGGGATTTCTCCTGGTTCTCTCTGGAGAAAAGGTAGTATCTCCATTTGGTTGTAGAGTAATGATTATAAAGAACTTGGACTTAAGGGCACTGTAGTTTGTCTTTCCAGGGGTCTGGTTATGCAGACTTGGCTTCATTATTACTAGTGTTAATCCAAATAATCTGGTAGAGTTTTCTTTCTATATATTTTTTTGCAATATAAGTTTTAGGTGCCCAGCTTTATAATTTGACATCTGTATATATTACAAAGTGATCACCACCGTAAGTCTCATCACAATCCATCACCACACAGTTGACCACCTTCACCCATTTGACCCATCCCCCAACCTCCTTCCCCTCTGGAACCACAAGTCTGTTCTCTGTATCTATGATTTTCGCTTTGCTTTATTTTGTTTGTCCTTTTGTTTTGTTTTTTAGATTTCACATGAGTGAAATCATGCAATATTTGTCTTTCTCTGTCTGGCTTAGGTCACTTAGCATAATACCCTTAAATCCATCCATGCTGTCGCCAGTGGCAAGATTTCATTATTTTTTATGGCTAAGTAATATTCCACTGTGTGTATGTATGTCTGTGTGTAGCCACCTCTTTATCCATTTATCTGTCAATGGACATTTAGGTTGTTTCCATATCTTGGCTATTGTAAATAATGCTGCAGTGAACACAGGGGTGCATATATCTTTTCAAATTAGTGTTTTCCTATATTTTGGATAAATACCCAGAAGTGGATAGCTGACTTCTGTTCTTAATTTTATGAGGAATCTCCATACCGTTTTCCACAATAGCTACACCAATTCCCATTAATAGTGCATGAGGGTCCCTTTTCCCCATGCTCTCACCAACACTTGCTATTGCTTGCATTTTCGATACTAGCCATTATAACAGGTGTTAGGAGATACTGTTCTTCTGATTTGCATTTCTCTAATAATTAACGATGTTGAGCATTTTTTCATGTGCCTGCTGGCCACCTGTATGTTTTCTTTGTAGAAATGTCTATTCACATGCTCTGCAAATTTTTTAACCAGTAGTTTATTTTTTGGTTGTTGAGTTCTTTATGTGTATTTAGATATTAACCCCTTCTCAGATGTTTGGTTTACAAATATCTTCACCCATTTAATAGGGTGCTCATTCATTGTGGTGATGGCTTCCTTTGCTGAGGAGAATCTCATTAGTTTGATAGTCACATTTGTTTATTTTTGGTTTGTTTCCATTGCTTTTGGAGTCAAATTCACAAAGATGTCCCTAAGACTGATGTCAAGGGAGCTTACCGCCTATGTGTTTTTTTCTCCCTTAGGAATTTTATGGCTTTAGGTCTTACATTCAAGTCTTTAATCCATTTTGAGTTAATTTTTGTGCATAATGTAAAAGAGTGGTCTAGTTTCATTCTTTTGCCTGTGGCTCTCCAGGGTTCTCATTACCATTTATGGAAGAGACTGTCCTTTCTCCATTGTTATAGGCTCCTTTGTCGTAGATGAATTGCCCATATATGTGTGGATTTATTTCTAGCTCTCAATTCTGTTCCATTGATCTGTGTGTCTGTTTTTGTACCAATATTGTGGTTACTGTAGCTTTGTAGTATATCTTGAAATCAGGGAGCAAAATACCGCCAGCTTTGTTCTTTTTCAGTATTGCTTTGGCTGTTTAGGGTCTTTTATAGTTCCACACAATTTTAGAATTATTTGTTCTAGTTCTATGAGGGATACCATGAATTTTGATAAGGATTGCACTGAGCCTGTAGATTGCTTTGGTTAGTATGGACATTTTAACAATACTGATTATTACAATCCATAAATATGGTACATATATTTTCATTTATTTGTGTCTTCTCCAATTCCTTTCATGTTGTCTATGTTTTTAAATTAAGGACATGTGGATTGATGTTCTACACAGAGTAATTTCAGGAGGATTTGTACTAATGGAAGTAACACTTGTGTATCACTTGGAAGTGTGTGGAAAGGTCTCCAGTATCAGGTCTCTTTCACAGTGTTACTCGCTACAGAGAGGAGGAGGAGTCACTGGAACTGAAGCCCACAGCCCAGATGATAGGCATTAGGGACCCAAAGCAGAGACAGTGCAACACAGCTCAGTGTTAGGGTCCTGCAGAGCATTTCACACCTACTATGCCACTGCCTGCTGTAGGCCCTTGGGCAAGTTAGCCTTCTTGTGCTTCAGTTTTCTTGCCTGTAAAGTGGGAATAGAGGTATCAAACTAACTGGGTTATTAGGTTAATGCACATGAAGTCTTAGCTAGTGGCTGAGCATACAAAGTCTCAATACCTTTGAGCTATTATTATTATTAACAAGTTGATGCCTCATGCTCTTGACTACTATTATTTTGCGTTCCAGTTTTTATATTGATGGATCCGACCCATGGATCCATCATGGATCAGACCCATATATTTACTTTTCTGAGAGTGTTGACAGAAGCCGAGTTAGGATGACCGAAGGAGACTTTTAAGAAGCCTCCACTATCCCCAGGTCACCTTTAGCCCATGCCTGATCACTAATGTAGAGATGTTATCAAGTGAATGACTTCCTGATCAAACCACTGAGGATTAAGGAAGTGAAATTTTTAGGGTTGAAGGCAGAGAAACTCTCAGCACAATACTAATGGATATTTTTATAGTATTTTAGTCTTTCCGTAAAGAAACCAACACTTAATATTCTTTTTGAATATTTAGAGATTATCAAACACATGCTAAACATACATGAAGGGAGATTCTTTATAGTGGATAAAAAATCCTTCATGGTCCTGAGTCTTGTTAAATCTGTTAACAAGATAGCAAACATCTATTACAAGAAGAAACTGAGGTTCAGAGGAATTTAGGATTTTGCTAAAGATCTCGTATCTGGAAAGTGATAGCCCATGGTTCAAACATGGTTTTATCTGACTTTTTCTACCAAATCACAGTGCTAGCTTATAGAGGGGCTATGAACATCATGCTGAAATCAAGTGCATGAGTGTCTATAGTTGACAGGGCATGGTCGTATGTGCCGTGCACTGCACACTGCTTGGACGGCAACAGTCACCTTGTAGACTGGGTGTCTTAGTTAGCATGGGCTGCTGTAACAAAATGCCATAGACTGGGTGGCTTAAACCACAGGCATTTATTTCCTCAATGTTCTGAAGGCTGGAAAGCTGAAGATCAAGGTGCAAGCAAATTTGGCTTGTAGACTGCCTGCTATGTCATGAATGGCTTTTCCTCTCTATATGCAGGGAGAGATAGAGAGAGAGAGGAGAAAGAGAGAGAGAGAGAGAGAGAGGAGAGAGGGAGGGAGGGAGGGAGGGAGGGAGATCTTGGATGTCTCTTCCTCTTACAAGGACACCAATCCTATCAGATCAGGACTTCACCCTTATGACCTTACATAACCTTAATACCTCCCTCTAGGTCCTATTTCCAATACAGTCACACTAGAGGTTACATTTCAACATACAATTTTTTTTTTGTGGGAGGACACAATTTAGTCCATTATACTAGGTCATTTGTGTGTCTCTTTATATGATGACCACTTTACACAGTGACAAAAAGCACCAGGCCAACGGT